AGTTGTCAACTGCTGACAGATAGATTAATGCAATAAACTGGTAATGGCTCAGTGCAGGTCAATGATCTGAGAACTACCAAAAATAGCCCTGACAGCCCCCAGTGACTCTGGAAGAAGCTGGTATAGTTCTTTGGGCAGAGGTGTTTTCTGTTGCAGACTAGCAGCTGATACTGTCCAAGCACAGTGAACTCTCCAAAAGCAGTTCTTCCAGCCAGCTGGGCACATAACCTCTGACCCGAGAGACACCCCTGATGCCTGGCAAAGGTATGTTTATTGGGGTATTTATACCAGCACTTCTCTGAAAGGCAGAACTATTTCTCCAGTTTACTAGGGTGCCTAATTTAATTTCAGTCTGTAACCTTCAGTTATTCCAAAAAGTTTTGTTTGCTTTTGGAATCTCTGCCATACAGAGATTTATTTTTTCTGGAGAAAAGATGACAATGTACTCTCTTGCTGACACAAGCTAAAAGAATTCCTGTAAATGAACTCACTCTTCAAGTCTCTTCAGTGCTAATGAGACGTGTATGCACACACATCAAAGTAAAACGTTTCCCATTCAGTACTGAAGAGGATATCAGACGGAGCAAACTCCTGCTGCGGACGCAGTACGTGTGTCTTCTGACATACAGAGATTACTATCGGCCTATTCAGTGATGGACATTTCTTCTCTCTGAGGTCTTCAACTATCCCAAGGAAAAGGATTAAGGAGAAGCTGGAAGCCGTTGTAACAGCTCTCCAAATCATTCAGTGATCATTAGGTGGTTTCATTAGTTAGGCTAGTAGCTACATGGTAGAAGTCATGATTGCTCTGGAGATTCGGTGCTAGCAGGGGAACAGAACGTTTTCAATGTGTGTGCACAGAACTGAACATGTTTTTCATACCAAGATCTCTGGAAAGGGCATAGATAAATAATATTTAATACAATCTAAATTGCTAGCTGGAATCAGAGAAAAGGCTGTTCACAGACATGTGGCACAATAGCAATTTTCTACCTCACTGTATTGCAGTCATGGAAAATTCTGCTGAAAGCATCTGGCTACAAAAATCAATTACAATTTATAAATTAGGCTCGCTTTCACTCCAAAGGCTGGGTTTGAAGTGTGCCTTTGGGGCTGTGCAGAATTCTTGCTTTAATGCATGGGCACTGGAGCGCAGGGTTTTGCCTTCAACACTGAAGGGTCATTAATGTGGTCAATCAAATACCGGGTCCAATAGCGTAGGCAAGAGAGCTTGGAGAGATGCACAACAGCACTGTTCTGTCAACAGGCCAGGTATCTGCATGCAGTATAGGCTACGTGACCTGAGCAAGATGCACAACTTCCATGCTCCAACATATTCAATCCATTTTATAGGGTTTTAGCACACTCTGAGAGCGACTGGGTCTGGATTGAAGTAGTGCAAGCCCCCAGTTGTGGACACTTACCTGTTTTGCGAATCCTAAGTTTTTGGCAAGGGATGCCTTAAGGCAGCAGCCCCAAGTCAAAGCTGAGCTGTGACACATCTCAGTTACATATGGATGTCAGAGATGTATGAGCTAGAGATTTCACAGGTACAAAAGTGAGGGTGCAACCCCAAATCACGTGTAAGCAAAGAAGAACAATGGTCAAGAATTTAAGGATTGATTTGGAAATAATATGATGTAGTTTGTGTTTTGAGCTTTGTTCAGTGTCCTGGAGTTGAACTGGGCAGTTTGTTTTCATTTTTGCAACTACTGACTTGATTAATATTTACACACATTTCCAGAGATCAGCATCACAAACTTTTCAGAATTAAAACAAGAGAATAAAAAATAAAGTAAATTTTGGATTTACATTTCAAGCTGATTTCTGTGATTTTTTTTTTTTTTTAATTCTTTCTTAGAAAAATCTCACACCTGCATTGGACAGATGTCAATGACATTATGGAAGAGTGAAATTGCTTTGGGCGAGATGAACATCAAAGGCCTGTGATTTGGATAGTTTCCACTGCAGAGAAGTAGAAAGGTTCATCACTTACATGAGATATTTAGATTACTTAAGTTAATGAGAATGGATTTGCTGAGATTCAAAGCAAAAAATTCCGAGATTACAGACAGGGGACTTACAGAATAAGTTGAATGCAAACCCAGCAGCAGAAGTGTGTTTCTAATTTTGTGGGTTTTTTTAAATCTGCCACAACACTGAAAAATCAAGGTGACAATGCAGTTGTTCTGTTATGGTCCTCTGTGTAGAAAATTTTCCCCTGCAGTTGCATACTCCTGGGGTGTCAAATGCATTTGTGAATCCAGATCACCCAGATCAGAAAGAAATCATGAGATTTTGTGCTTTCATAGAAAAAACTTGCCTATCTCCCTACTGATCTGCAGCTCTATTATTCCTCATTATATTTACTTTCTCACTGGCATTTTACTTTCATCACCTGGAACTGGTGAGCAGAACTCAGAGAAGGGCTATGTAGCTATGCCACAGAAAAGTGTGTGCACAAGTATACATACCCACAGCCACGTACAGCAGGTTTTGGTGCTGCCCCACTTCCCCCACACTCCTTTCCTACTGGAGCGTTTAATTTGAAATGGAGATGTGTGTGATGATTAGCTCCTTGCTGCACAGCCACGGGGCTCTTTCCTCAAGGCTGGCAGCAATTTTTAGAGGAGCATTGTGGGAATGTGCTTGGCTCCTGAACAAGTTATCGGAGGAGAGAAAGAGATACGTTCTGCGCCGCCAGAAAGAACTGTTGCAAAGAAGGAATTCATTTGCCCCATTCTCTGATGAATTAATTACAGCTCCTCTCCATCTGGCTCCTTCGTGAAAGAAAGCACAGAGCTTACCTTCCTTCACTTCCCATTCAGATGTGAATGTCTTACTTCCCAGCACACATCCTGTCTGCTTGCAGCCCCCCCTCACCCCCGCCTGCTCTCTAGAGCTCTTCTGCTACCTCCTGAGGGTCAGGTTTTAATCCCCATCAGTTCAGCTCCTCCTCTTGCACTCTACCTGAACACCTTCACCATCCCTGCTTTCTTTTGTCTCATTTCCAGCACACCCAGTGTAGTTGGAAGCATTGTTACGAACACAGTGACAGATCCTGGTGTAAGAGTCTCCCCAGAACACTGGTAGGGTCCCTGTGACTTGCCCGATTTGAAACCTTACTGAAAAAAAGCTGTTTAATGTGCAATAGTGCCAATTTTCTAGCAGGGAGAGGGAATGGAAAAAAAAAATCAGATATTTTTCCTCCTTAGAGACTGTATTCTTGTCCTCTCTGTTCATGACTTCTTTTTTTAGGCTCCATAAATTGTTGGACACCTCTCTATCTTTAGCTAGTCCTCTCTCACATCTGCCTGTTCCCCCTCACTCCGTGCCTATACTGAGCTCCTTGCTGCTACGCCTCCCTGTTCCACCCAAGTTTGCTTCTTTAGCAAAACTTCATGGCTTTGTCAGAGAAGTATGACTTCCTCCCTAGGTTTCTCAGTTACTAAATAATTTACCTGCACAACAGATTTAATGTTATTTTGGAACTAACTTTGAAAACAACACTGAATACACCATACCGAAGCCCAGAAGACAAGTTCCTCCTGCAACGTGGCCAGAATGGGAAAAGTCACTATTTCTTCTGTTAATATTTTTTTGGGGGCATGATTACTACTGTGGCTAAAAAACACAAGATGGCTAAGGGATAGCTCTCAGAAATGGCACAGAAGTTAAAAAATTACCTTTTCTCTCGGGATTGTTAGGTAAAACACCACAAAGAATGGTTTCATCACATTAAAGTGAGAATTGCTTTTACATTAAAAGGCTATGTTAAAATGTACATTCAAAAAACTGGTAAGTCAGGCATGAGGTTAGGTAAACAAATGACAAGTTGTCATTGTCTTTGAGTCTGGACTACACAGAAATCTCTGCTTGACTGGGTCTGACATAATCAGTTTACATCAGTTTAACAAACCATTAATATAAAAACATCCTAGGAAGGAATCTTGTTTCCAGGATGGGGTATTATTAAAGCACTTCCAACTTTTGCTTTGCTGACACTGGGCCAGGCTGCATCCCCCTGTGCAAGCCTTATGATCCACTACCAAATGCCTCTTTATAAAGTAAAAAAAACCAAACCAAAACCAACCACAAAACGCCACAAAGAAAACAAACCCCACTGCTTTTCATAGACAAGATCACTAGTACAAGGTTTGTTCAGTACTCACAAGTTTGTTGAGAAAATTATGACCTGATTTTAAGAGTTCTCCTGCTATAGAGATGCTAATTTCCCCCCCCCCCCACCTCCCCCCAGCTTTCTTCCTGCTGTATTCTACCTCTCCTGATTCAGGTGGGCTGGAGAACACAGTAATGGGAAAAGATATCTGGTAAAGAATGAGAACAAGAGGAGGCCCACCCCCACTCTTGCTGAAGTCAGCAGAAACATTTCCATCACCCTCTGAAAGCCCTGCATCCAGATACTGGAAAAAAAAAGCTCAAGATTTCAAATAGAATCATCCTGATTTTCTTTAGGCTGAATGTCAACCACTGTATTCAAACATGATTCTACCCTACCTACTCTTCAATTTGCACTTTGGTGCATACCCAGCTCATTTCATACTTGCTCTGACTTTGGTTGTAAACAACAAGAATCTGATTTTAAAAATCCCCCCCCAAAAAAACCACAACAAAACCATCGTTCAGTATTCCCTGCTGAAAGATGGTAGAAACAGAAACATTGGAGGATTATCATTAAACAGTGGATGAGTGGATGGTGGATGTTAGTTTGACCACAGATAGGCATTTTTTTATATATATATATATGTACATACATACATGACCTCTATATACACATCATAAATATAATAATAAAATATTGTAAAAATACTAATTTTGCTCAAATACATGAATAAAGTGTACTAATCTTATTTGGCATTTAGGTGACCTATCCGGTTGATATGATGGGTGTGTTGGAAGCCATAAAATCTACAACACTTGCAATTGTTAACAACAAAGAGTCTGTATTTCTGAAAGTCACCTCGCGCCACGCCAGGAAGTTAGGTTGGAGGTGGGCCCTCATATCGCAGCATCAGCTGGAAGGACTGAGCAAAGTTGTTGGCCAGTGCACAGTTACAGGTCTCCTCGGCCTGGGGCAAGAGGAAGGCCAGGAGCAGGAGGAGCAGGAGGAGTAGTTGAAATGGCAGTGCTGCCCAGCACACTCGATGCAGGAATGAGCACACACCTCCAGAGGGCTTCTGAAAAACACAAACCACAGAGCAACTTAGAATAGTAAAGACCTAGGGAGCTACATTTCAATTACATCAAACTGCTGGATAGAGGGGCAGAACAACTCATGCTGTCTTTGCTCTGGGATCCAGCCTGTGTGCTGGGTACGCTGTGCCTGACTGAAGCTGGGGCTTCAGTGACTACTTTCAGGAGAATACGTCACTCTCTTAAAGAATTCACTGCTGCAAAACTTTTTCTTCTAGCAGAAAAACACTGCTGACTTTCTAGCACTAGAAAACAACTGCCTCAAAGTCCATTTTCCAATTCCAAAGTGGTGGTTACAAATGCCAAGGCTGCCGACGGGTCTCCTCGCAGTCAGCATACGGCACAGAAGGCCTGCGTTAGTCACTCTCCTGTCAGTACATGGGACTGGTGATGCCTGGAGGAGAGGAGCCAGCCTTCTGCTCTCCGTCAGCAGAAAGGAGCTTTGCAGCTCATCCATCTCCCAGCTGCAATCTGCTCTTGGATCCTGACTTTGGGGTGTATGAGGCTGGAGAACAGAAAAAGGCCCTGCAGTGCAGCCTGCCTCAATGCCTCTCACCAGGCCCATCTTAAACTTTTATGTGATGTGGAACAATGAGAGAAAACTCAACACTGACTCTGAAGAGGACATTAAAGTCACAATGATTTCTGAGCAGCCACAGGAGGGACACACAAAGAAGTCCCATTACACTTCTCTTTATGCTGGTGCAAATCTAGAGTAGCTCAGTTAACTTCATTAATATAATCTGAATTAGCACAACCAGGAGAGAACATATTTGAGACTACAGAATTCAGGAAAGATTAAATAAGAAGTGATATTTCCACTGGCAAGATTCCTGGATATCTCCTGCTCATGAGGAGAACTATGTGTGTTTCACAAAAAACAGTCCAAGTCAACCATGTGCAAAGGAGTCCTGAAAAAGAGGGCTCAATAATCCATTAACTTCATCAAACATGGTTTTAAACTCAGAACGCAGAAATAACCTTAATGCTGCTACAGCATTAGGTACCAATCTACATCACAAACAGCATGGTTGCTCAGGTTTGTCTTTGCCTTCCTGTGATGACCACACCGCCAGTTCGTCACTCATGTTGTTCCTACCCCAATTCTTTTACCGATCCAGCATTTGATTTGGAGCAGGTCACTGACTCTGACCTGATCTCTAAAGCAAAGACTATTAATGTAACTCTAAGAAATGGGATGAGATTGAAATGTCATTCATTAAGTGCCTTGGTTTTAGATCCACTGTCAAGAGCTGTAAAATAGCATTGCTATTCAAAGCTCCTCCTCCACAAAGAATTAATGTGAAATGGCCTTACTAGTAAGCTATTGTTTGCTCCCCTTGGACCTTCCTGCAGGGAAAGATACTCAGGCTAACCACAGCAGATCCTAGCATTAGAAAAATCTGTGGAGGGACATATGCCTGGGGGCAGAACTTCAGAGAAGGAGAAATACTTTTGTCTTTATCCATTGCTTCTCTCCCACCTGCTTGCTGGGTTAATAGGCATCTGTGTTTGATGAACTTTTGTCTTTGTTACCCAGCTTCTTGGTTTTGTTTGATCATAGAGTAAGGTCAGAATCTTGTGTCTCTGACTCCATTTGTTGCCATGGGAATGAGTCTGCTATCGCAGACATGGTATTATGACATCTCTGCAGGACTGAAGATGAGGCACACAGGAGCTGTGAGGGTTTGCTGCTTTCAGCAAATTTGCAATGATAAGCCCTTAATATATGAGGGCCCCAACCTGCACACACTGAAATCCATGGGAGATTTACCATTAACTTCAGTGTCTGCAGCAGCATTATGCACAGAGACAACTAAATAAAGTCGGGATTGGGAACTACTTATTTATGGAGTTCAGCAGATACCCTTACAAATGGATTCATTACTTCTATGCCCAAGTTCTGGTGTTCTTGTGCACAAATCTTACATCAGTTCTGTTGCTTTGTGCTTGCTGGAACAATTGGTGATAGGATTTTTTTTCCTTTTTCTGTTGGTAGTACTTACTGCTAGAGGTCTTACAGTTTAGGGATAGAAAACTTTGAAGGAGACACAGCAACTTTTAATGAGAGACGATATAGTTGGAAAAAGCAGAGCAGTTTTGGGCACTGACTCCTTCTCCCATGTGTGAAAAAAGCAGCACTTCAATTTTACTAAGTCAAGTTATTTTTGTAGTCTGTGCGCAGAGATGCTTTCAGGCTGTGGTGACCTGAGACCATGGCATCAACAGGGATTCAGGATGGCAAGGTTCAAACCTTTGCTCTGCTGGGCTCAGTGATCACAGCTGTATGAGTCTACAACCTTAACACACATTATTCTGGGTTAGAAAAGGACAGTCTGACACAGTTCCACCTTTGCAAAAGACAGTTTGAACATTTCATTTCCATATGAGATCAAAGGTAGGAACCACAACCCTTGCTATGCAGTGGAATTCCCCTTCTCCAGTCACTTCAGTTACTGGCATCAGTTCAGCTACTAGCCAGCACCCACAGCGCCTGCAGTTTGTGTGTCAGATCTAGGCTCCACAAAATATTCTGAAATCAAATCTTCCTCTGAGGAAAGCTGGCAAAGCTCCAGTGAAGTCAACAGAACTTTAATTTCCATCATCTTAGAATAACAGCTGGAATACCTGGGTATTGAGCCAAAGTGTCAAGAGACATTTTTGAAACACACATGGAAAAGGAATAGGTTGACATTTAAAAAGAAAATATACTTTTAAAGTTCACCGTCAAGGATAAATGTCTTCCCCCCTTCTCCCTCAAAATACCAGGACAAGCAAGGACTGTCAAGAGGTAGACGGCTGTGTTTTGTGTAATGCTAAATGCATGCTTGTTACCAAATGAACTGCACTGGCTGTGAACATTCCCATTTGTACTTGATTCATGTGAGGCGTTTGAATGACAAGCATGGGTTCAGATCTAGGGAGTCCTCAGCACTTAAATCTGTTTGCAGTTAATAACTCCTTACCAAATGCACCGTGAAAAATCACTTGGATGGGAAACAGCAGAAAAGCACTTTAGAAATTGCTACATAATATTCCTGTGTAAGTTGCTAAAGTGTTTTACTAAAAATCAGTGCACTCCCTGGTTTGCTATTGACCACATTCCAGGATATATGAAAACACACAGTTAATCTAGCTATTTGGGGGAGCAGAGGAATATAGCATCTTATTCCATGCTCATTAGTGGTTTTTTTGCTGCTCCTTGTATGTCACCAGTGTGCCTGACAAAAATCATACCTGCACCACTGAAAACAGTGATCCAGCAGAAAAAAAGATTTAGTCTGGATTAATTTCTCTTACCTTAGAGCAAATCACTGAGCGACTAGCCTGGGATATGCACTGCTGTCTGAAAACTCCTGCTCTCCCCACGGATACTGGGACCAATGCCCTAGTGTCCTACACTACATGAAGACACCAACAGCCATGCTGCTTCATGCCAGGGCTGTATCTAGCCCAAGTATCCTATATTCTACAGCAATCGGTCCAGATGCATAGATACTATGGCAAGCATAAATAATTCCTCCTTAATATTCTCAGCCTCCAACTGCTTTCAGCTCAGGCAGTTTCCTGAGCCTGATACAGCTTATTCACCTAGTTAACACTCAGTGAATCTTTTTTCCAGTGAATCACTTCCAGATTCCCCCTGAACCTATATAAACTTTAAGTCCTCAATATCCTTTAGCAAGGAGTTCCAAAGGTCAACCAACCGGCATGAAGAACAAACCCCTTGTGTTATCTTTGAACCTGGCTACTAGTTCTTTCTGTGGAAGAGATGGAGAGTCACCCCGTCTACAGTCTCTGCACCATGCATGATTTTGTAAACCCCTGAGTGAAATGCTTGGACAGGATGAATCCAGGCTTATCTCCACAGCGGGAGGAGCACAACATAATGGGCTTAAACTCTAGCAATAGGTACAGAGGAAGTACTTCTTAATAGGAAGGATAGGCCTTGGAAAGGATCACCTACATAGGTATAAACTTTCCCACTTCATTACTCTCCTGAGAATGAGAAGAGCTACCAGGAAGGCCGTAACAGTGCCTTACCATACATCCCTTTCACTCTGAACAGGAGCACCCACCATACCGCACCATCATTTTTTTTTTGGAAAGCAATTGCCTTATCAGTGACGTTTTTCTTCTGAGAGGCCCTGGGTTTCTGCCACTTGACACCCCACTGGGCACTAATTCAGTTGCGACTCATAGGGACAGGTTATTGCCAACAAGAAGAGATCACTTCCAGGGGGAGCACAGGCTGCTCTCTCAAACCAATGCAAAATGGGCTTTTAGCTCAACGTCAGAGTTTGGAGCGGCGCTCCTCATCAGTTCTCAGCTCAGAGCCATGAGCATCACTGTGAGAAGCACCACATGGCAAACCACCGCTGGTCTTTTCAAGAGGGAAATAACGTGGGGGAGTTGGATACTACTGTCGCCAGAGAACTAAGCATCCAACAGGCTTTTGGGCAAAGCTGTGGCTCATTCCCATACACCACAGCAGGAACTAAGAGCTGGATGCTGCCGGTCAGAGGTTATCTGGCCTCCGCAAAAGGAGGGTGAGCCACTGGGTTCAGAATGGTATTTTCCTAAATGCAAACACTGCCCAGGTTAGGCAGCCGGCAGTGAGGAATCATAAGGCTGGCTGGGACCCCTTCGAGTCCTGCGCTTATCATTCTCCATCTCATAAAGAGCTACCAGAATGAATGTGCTGAAGGGAGGTTAACTGAGGTCACACAAGCAATTTTAGCTCTGATATGTTCTAACTTCAGATTGCTTGACTTTGCAACCGTAGCGTTCTCTTCAATTCTGAAAAGCGTAAGTGTATGTACGTAAATAAGTAAGTATACAGGCAAATTACAGGCTTTGTTTTCTCCCTTAGGGGAGACTCTGGAGTACCTCAGCATGGCTGAATAATAAGCTAGAATCTTTGATGAAGGCTTCATTTAAAAGAAACAGAAGACAAGGGAAAACCAGCAGTTTGCACCTCAATTTTCAGAAGTCACATGCGGCAGATATTTCAGAATTTTTGCTGCAAAGTCACTTAAAATTAAGTACTGTGCCATATGACACTGGGGCACAAACAGATTTACACAGGTTAGCTTCTGTGCGCATGTACAACATGACATGCTTTTACGAGCAGCGTGCCACAGGACAAGGGCTACAGCCCAGGGCTACAGATGTAGCAGCATTGATTTCTGTGATTCTACAGGCCTAAGCAAGCAGAAAAATTCTCTGGTTTGGTCCCATCTTCAGCACGTAAGCAGTGGAAACAACTTTCTTTTCTTTCTAGGAAGTGTTTGACATGATAAAATTTAGGAAGCACTGTGGCAGATTAGTAAAGTGGTAGGTAGGATGGGTCACTAAAAATATCTTAGCTCCATGTTACAAGAATATGAAAAGTCAAACTTTCAGTGAGGTAATTTTGAAGCACATTTTCATATTCAACAGCAGGCAGTGAGTTACACTTAGATTCTTAAGTATCGCAAGTGAAGTATTTGCAAAGGCTTCAGAACAGGGTAAAAGGTTTTGAAACCAGTTGTGCTGTTTTGGCTGGAATAATCTTCTTCACAGTAGCTATTATGGGGCTACGGTTTGGATCTCTGATGAAAACAGGGTTGATAACACACCCATGTTTTTGTTATTGCTCAGCAGTGCGTACACAGCCTCAGGCCCTTTCTGCTCCTCACACCGCCCCATCTGCAAGGAGGCTGGGGATGCACAAGAAGTTGGGAGGGGACACAGCCAGGAGAGCTGTGATGGGATGGCTTACTTTTAAAAAACTAGTATGTAATATTTTGAGGTATTGATTGCAAGTTTCCTATCGCACTTTTGACAGTAGCATTAAAAACATTTTTCAAGTATATACTGGAAATTGGTTTCATTCTGCTATTGGTCAATAAATCTCTCAGTCGTTACCTTCAGCTAGGAGGTAAAATTATACCCACTGAGGAAATAATTCTAAAGCATCTCCTTGGTGAAAATCTGCAAACACTTTACAACATAGTGGGCTACTAAAGGACACATCTTTTCAACAAAGAAAGCAGGGACCACCAAACCCATACCTAACCAACACCACGTTAACATGAAAAGCAGGTAAGAACCAGGCATGCTGGGAAGCCACATGTCTTCTCCATCTTGCACCAGCACTGCTATAGAGGGAGAGCATCAGCGAGACACAGAAGTGGCAGAACCAGATAAAAGACAGAGAGTCCCTGTTTTCTCACATTTGGGAAAGCTGTAATGTAGATCGGTAAACAACATGAAACCTTCAGAAACAGGGGCAGATAGGCAGGCAGCCTCGCTCGTGGGCCTGCTGGAGAAGGAAGGGGACACCTGTCTGGCACTGCATACCTAACCGTGGGTCACAGGTAGGAAGAGGCAGGCAGGACGTTTCAGCTTGTTTTTATTTTCCTAAGTTTCCTTTCTGAGCAAACATCTCTGCTGAGGGAAAATAAGTCTATCTGCTAATTTTGAATAGTAAAACGTGCTGCTTCTTGTGTTTGAGCCAAGGTATAATGTCTAAAGCAGGTAAGCACAGGCTTAGAGGCACAGTAACAAAAAAATATTAAGAGCTATCTATAAAAAAGATATTTAAAACTGAGGGAAAGATACCTTTTAATGAGTCTATTTTACTAAGAATGTAATTGTACAGAAGATTTCAAGTGGCTAACACACAGCAGGGCTTCAGGAAAACAAGTGGGCCATGCAGTGTCAATAGAGAGGCACCACAAATGCAGGCACGTACACACGATGCTGTGCATTTCTGAAATGTGACTTTCTGCCATGAAGAATTTCTGTTGTATCTGCTCTTGGGCAGAGCAGAGCCCATTACGGTTTTCCTCCTGGCAAGCGTCGGCAGCTCTTGCTCTGCACAGTTTCCTGAATGACTGCATTAATTTGATTGATTCCAGATCAATGGTGTCTCTAAATGAGATTAAATTACACCTTCCTTCTGTCTGTGTGTTACAGGAGATTACTCTTAGCAGAATCTCAAAGGAAGCAATTAGCTGACCACTGATGTAATGAATCCTAATTATTTTGTTTGTACAAACAATAAAGCCAGAATCATTTGTTTAGCAAGGAAGTGTAATTACTCTGAGCACTTAAGAAAATAAATCAAACAGTGCTACCTAGACCTGTAAATAACGAGCCTTTGATTTCCTATTTATGCTAAGAATGCTCATGGAATATTTTCAGGTAGCTGGGAGCCAACCTTTGAAAGTAATATTTATCATAGTTATTATTAAGTATTTGCTTGATTACGTCCTTGGGTGCCCTGCAGAAATATCCATCTACATTGCTCTGTCACTGGCACCTGCTAAAAATTCACTGCAGCCAGTGCAATTTCCTGCAACTGTTTTTTGTTAATCAACAAGCAGTCGCTCACATTGCAATCATTAGCCTATACTGTTCCTAAGGGCATGTCCTCAGCAAAGGATGAATGATCAGAAAAAAAGCACACGGAGCAGGCTCTATTCTGCCCAACATTTGGCCATGCAGGCTAGAAATGGAGTAAAACCAGAAGGCAACGAAATGAGACTGGCTGCAGCTGAGTCTTCCCCTTCTCCAGGTCGATCTGCTGTTACTGCAAAACATTCACAGCTCAAACAGGAGAGACAAGCAGGGTCACTGGGGACCTCGTGTGCAGAATGCAGAGATCAGTCAGTCCAAAAATAACTGAAATTCTGCTACTTCTGCTGATTTTGGATGACCCAAAAGCATGAGGGAGCTGACAAATTAGAGACAACCTCATCCCATTGCATGCAGACTCACTAGATGTTGCAAGTACGGTGATGCAGCCCCTAACCATGTGTTCTTTCCACAGATATTAACTCCCAAAATCAGCCATTCTCTCAGGGTACTTGAACAACAATATTTTGCCTTATCTTTCTTTCATTTCCAGTCACATTTTAGGCGTTAAATGGGAATTTAAAATAAACCGCAAAGCCACAAATCCTGCGGTTGGTTTGCTTTTCCTCTTCTCTCAGCCTGCACAGATGCACCCAAAGGGGATCACCATTATTTTCCGGTTCTCTTAAGTGATGCTCAACAATCTTATGGCAACACAGGCTCACATCCCGATAAAAGCCTTAGCCTGAAGGAGAAAAAGACACCTCTGCTTACAGCACCTGAATTCTCACTGTAGTGACACTGTTTAAATACAGAATGAAAGCTCTGAAGTCAGCAAAATCACACTGAAATGAGCAAGGCATAAGTTACTGCAACATTTGTGCTGGCTGAAGGGAAACTGCAAAGCACTTGTTGGTGCAATGGGAGCTATTTCCTTCATGCTTATGAGGTATTTCAGTTCTTCGTTCCTTCCCTCCCCGAGCTGTTTCTCTTTGTTTGTGTTCAGTAGCTATTAAAAACTCATAGAATGCTTTTTTTGTGCTCTTGCTGTAGGCCTAAGTGGCAAATGTTTGCTGCCTGCCTTTAGGTTATTCCAGTATCCTTGACAGTTAACTGAAGAATTCAGTCTCCCTCGGAGAAGTTAAGGGGGAGTAAACACCACCTACCCCGAGGCAGGTGGGACAGAGGAATTAAAGAATGACATCTGCAGTGTAGATATGCTTATGGCATAGCTTTTGTTTTGTTTTCTTTTCCCCTATAAACAACTTGACCAAAAGCAGAGAACATTCTGGAATATCCCTTTAGGCCTCTTCTAGGGAAAAACAGCACTACTAAATGCTGGGCTGCCTCTAGAACAAGTATGAAAATGTCATATTGTTTTTCCAGCCTGAAAAAAATCTGGTGACCTTACTGGATGACCAACAGTACCAAACAATTAATGCTGAGCCAGAAAGGCATGGACAGAAACTCTTTGGGAGTTTTCAGGAAGGCTGAACTGCAGCCAAAACTATGCAGGGGATATGTGAAAACTACCTTAAATTGGTCAGTATTTCGCTGGGGAAAAATGTTGGAGATGTTACTCCCCATGTGAGTACCAGAAGATACCTCATGGGAAAGTCTTGATTTCTGGCCTTACTAGAAGTGTACTGCACCCTTTAAATATCGCGCTCTTCTAAAGAGATGTTGAAGCAGGAGAAATCAAGGGTTTGATTTAGCTTAAGATGATTATGTGATTATGTTCCTGCAACACATTATTCATCCGATCTACTTTGTGTTGGCCAAATAAACCCTTATCCCATTCTTTCTGAAAACAAGGGGAAAGTGAGAGGACAGTACAAAGTAGAAGCTAACGGTATCTATAAACAAAGCAAACTGTGACAGAGAGGAAAGTCTCAGCTGAACACTGCTCAGGTCCACAGTAAAACTCGCTGACTTTATGGAAGTGGGATCAGAAATGCTGCTTGGGTTTCATAAGAAACTGGCCGCATTTTGTTTTCTTTAAGCTTCTCTCCTTATCATCTCCTGTACTGCTTCTGCTTCTTATGTCAGCACTTCCAAAAGAAAATCCTTCACAGGAAAAATTCTGCTGCTTAGAATAGAGATTAGTCTAATAACATTAGACAAATCTCTTGACTTTCTCTGGTTTTCTGCGTTAGCAAGGAGGCGGGCTGAATGATCCAAAGCTATTTTTTTCATAAGTATCTAAAGAATTAGAACTCCCGGTTTCAAAATTATCTTAGTCACTTGGACCCTAAATCCTTTAGAGGGAGATTTGGGGTCTTCCTTAGTCCCTTCTGAAAAAAGAATTAAAGTCTCGTACTGTGTAAAACTGAGTTCCTCTACCAAGTTCATCGCAGGAGATGGATTATTACCTTCTAGAGATACAGTAAGCATAGCTCAAGAATAAAACTGTAATATTTTTCCTTTTAAAATCTGGATAAAATAAGCTATTTCTTTAAGAGCAGCTCTTAATAAGCAAATTAATCCCAAGAATCTATAGAAAAGTTGAATTTAAAAGAATTATCTGCAAAATGTTTGATCAAACATTTTTTAGTGATAGCAAACTCTCATACCTTTCTGAATCTGTCTGATTCTTCTAAAGATCCAGGACTCTGTTTAAAAGGGGGAAGAAAAAAAAAAGGCAGCATGAACTGAAAATCCCAGCGGAGAGTGGAGCCTGCAAGTGAGCATTCACCTCACAGTGAATGTTTCTTTCAAATTCACGGTCACCTGGATAGAATGAACCAGCAGGAGATTTTTTTTTCTTTAATGAGCCTTCTAACACACCTCAGGCCGAAAGCTAAAACGTTTTCAGGCTCTTGGCCGTTTCAATCAGATCGGCAGTTCTCCCAGCAATAGATTTGACTTTACTGACACCTACTGACTACATTCATACTTACACAACGTTTTGGTCAGCACAGCGTAACTCCTTGCAATCAATGGCCAACGATTCTTAGGAATATGCTCTTTATTAATGGAGGTCATGCTTACCTTTGCATGCACTTAAGGATTTGTATTCTAAGTGAGCTTTGGGTTTGAAGACAAGGTTTCTCACAGCAGAAAATTTTCAGGTGTCTCAAATTTTAGGTGTTTGAGTTCAGATACTTTCTACAGCACTTGTACACAGGAAGTACCAAACACACACCTGTAAAGTCTAATCCTCCCATTATGGCATCTTGAAGTTGAAGGCATATTGCAAGTAGTTAAACTAGAAAAAAACTTAATTATGTATTACGCTAAGAACATGGGAATATCTTTAGGATGCCCTGAAATACGTTAGAGGGGGATGAATTCTGCCATTCTTAGCGTGTCTTTCATGTAACAACTTGTCAACTTCTTTAATCATTTGGTTCTTGCATGAAAATACCTCCTCTATTTCATGTCGTATGTCGTATCTTCTCTGTATTGTGCGCTTTTTGTGTATGGTCCCTTTGAACTTAAGACAAACTCCAACATATCCTCCAACCCCACTCCCTCTCTGCAGCGCGAGATAAAGGTTAGAATAGGTGATTCCGTTGTTGCTATTCACAAATGACTAAAGGAAGTTTAATTAAGCAGACACACACACACATACCGTTGAATTACGACTAGCAATGTGAAGCAACCTAAAAGAGCAACGGCGGAGATCACCCCCTGGGCAGTGAGTGCTGTCACCTACCGGTGAACGCATGGACTCTTTCAGTTTAGATATGTAGAGCAACCACCGGTAATGCAGGTCCTCCAGATGGTCAGTGTTTCCCATGACAGGATGAATATGAAGAAGGACCTCAAAGAGACACTGACCATAAGGCACACGAGACTGAAGCTCCTGCAGGCAAAGACAAGGTCAGCAGCAACTCAGAATTCAAGAAAGCCCCCCCCTTTAAATCTAGTATTCGAGAGAACAGTGGTACTAAATCAAACTACTGGGTACTCCGGAATAGCCCATTTATTTTTGTTGTTGCTTTTTTGGCTTGAAATGGTATAAAAGGGTCCACTCATTTACAGGACTCCTAAAGCCTTGGATATTTCTGTTAGTTTAATTTCTTACAGCATCTATTGTCATTGCATCTAGCTATATTCAGCAGAAAGTGAAGCCAAATACCTGACACTGGTTTTAAGCAGCCTCTTTTAATGAACACCCTTGCCATGCCACACTGGGAACACCCAGTCCAACAGTCCAACGCCAGGCTGTTCCCTTCCCTTCTACCACGCTGGCTCTAGCAGACCTCTTTTAGTAGAAGGCGTGAAATACTTTATCTAGATTTCTCAGCTTCATCTACTCTATACTCTCCTAAAGCAGAGTGTAGTATTTGGGGGGTGTTTTGGGTTTTGTTTTTTTTTTTGTTTTGTGGGGTTTTTTGGTTTGTTTTGTGAGGGTTTTAATGTTAGGGGCTTTTTTGCTGGTTGTTTGGGGCGCGTGTGTGGGTTGGTTTATTTAATTCTGACAGAATTTGCACTTATCGCAATCTTTGTCTCCATCTTCATCCCCTGAAAACTAACCTCCAGTTTTCTCTGACGTGCTTTAATTTCCTCTGAGGAAGATGAAGTCACAGCAAGAATTTTGTTCAGTTTGGTGTTTTCTCCTTGTAACCACCCTTCAAAGTCATGTAGGATCTTCAAGTGGTTGCTCGCATTTTGCCCATCTCCTATCTTCTCCTAGGTTACAGAACAACATGAACAGAAAAGCCCTTACTGTTATGTCAGATGCTTCTTCTGAAAGCCTGATTGCAAGATCTTAGCCTCCAACTTTGTAACTCGTAATATTAGATGAAGCCAGTCAAATGGTTCTTGTGAAGCAAATATGAAGGCATATAAAGAATCCCCCTCTCACCTGCTTATGGTTGGGATCTACATCTAAAAGATGGCAGACAGGTCCAGACATCCATCTGTTGTCCACAAATGCCATTTTCTTCTTATCAGCCACTGGCCTATTTAACTGCCACTTTTCGAGAAGACTTGAAAACACAAAACCAGAGACACCAGTGGAGTGAAACATCTAACAATGACACTTCCACATTTTCACTGGGACTACAGGGGACACTCTGGTGAAACGACTCTATTATTATTATAGTATTATTACTAGCACCAGCACTGTTATTAGTAAAGTTATTTCCAGCATCTTTTTAACACAATAAGGTCAAGACAGGACTGTCTCAAAGCAGCACCAGTCCTCTAGTTCTAACATTTCCAAGTGTTTTGTTTTCTTTATTCAGGGGAGTGAAGCACCAAAAAAAAAAAAAAACCAACCCCTACCTTGATAATATATCTTCCAGACTGGTAACAGCAGGCAGTACAGCCAAGCCTTCCTCAATTTAGTCATTCCATTTTTAAGCATATTCTGACACTATGTATGAATGTACTCACACATGTAACACAGACTATCAAGTATGAGCAGCAGTTTGACACTGCACACTCAGGGCACAATAAATTAAGTCCACATTTGCCAGCTAAGAAAGGATCTTAACTCTGGTTTTACTCCTGCAGGTTTGTAAAAGGCACAAATCCCAGTGCAAATACTGTCTTCTTGGAGATATCTCCAGATCAGGCAGAGAGGAGAACAGGAAGGGGAGGCCGAACAGCAGAAGTCACCCAGTCTACATTCTATTTTCTTCTGACACAGATTGGCAGTACAAGGGTGAGTCAGGTCCTAAGGACACACTGCCTACTCCGAGTGTGAGGTAAAAGCAGCTTCAAAGACTGCTCTGGTCCCCAGATTCTCTAAAATGGCTTTCTTGAAAATAATGATGTCCAGTTTACAAACGACTCAGTAAAATCTCACCTTGCTCCTAGCACTGCTAGTGACACAGCTAGCTGTTCACTTTCCCAGCACACAGCATAAAGCATCAAGTGTGTCTGGTCATACAGAAGTAAAGAGCATCCCCTTGATGGGACATGAGGAAGACGTACATCAGCACTTACCCACTTGCCATGTCCTTCAGTGATCTCCACAACTCCTTCAGCTGATCCAGCTCTGCCTGGATATGCGCAGTCTCCTCTGGGGAAGAATTCTCCATGACCAGCTGGCCATGAGCTTCCACAAGGTACAGCTGGATCTCCTTATCTGGAAACTCAGCTAGCCATCTCTGAAACGTACAGCCCTTAGTTACTTCTAGGTATCCTGGGTAAAGCAGAGGCTATGTCAGACTGAAGGCCATGTTCAGTCCAGGACTATGCTGGTTCTGTTGGTACTAGCTAGAACATACCTAGCAGGAAAAAAAATATGCTGTGGATTCTTGCAAAGAGCCAACATAGGTCAAAGAGCTGATGACAAAACATAAAGGGTGTAGGCTGTCAGTGCATCCCTTCTGTAGCCTTCCCATGAAATACCTTGGTTTCCCATACAAAGGCAAAAGCTGCCAGCTGAAGTACCCTGCCCGAGTGAATCTAGCATGCAAAATACTGCTACACAGGGAAAAGCTAGCAACTGTGGGATAGCTCAGTTCAACACAGTATATCGTTAGCTAACGGTAATAATGCACAATGTATCAACGAGTACATACAGGCAAAGGTAGGTACGGTCCACAGACATCACCCTGGCAGGAAGAGCTCTTTTTAAAACCACCTAGCCTTTGATAATACTTTATTCATCTCAATAGTTCTTAGCTATTTCTCGCTGCTCTTGTCTTTTACCTAGCTCCACATCCCACAGCACAGGGAAAAACAGGGAGGCAGCAGCAATCAACAGCTATCACAGGAGGAACAAGGCATCATTACTCTCCCCAACCAGGAAACCCTTGCTAGAATCCCCCCGCCCTTAATGTCTGAATGCTGCAAAGTGAGTAATTAACATCTTACACTAAGATGCTTTTCTCACCTCGAGGCATGCCACCCTGTCATCAGTGTTCTGCTCTCCATCAGCACCCTGGTAGGCATCAATCTTCTCCACAGTTACTGCGATCCACTGCTGGAGGTCAGCGAGTTTGTCGTTGTACACCCAGTGCTTCTGAATATGCTCTTTGCTCTGCTGTATCATCATCTACAAATGATAGAAATATATCAGCAAATAAACACAGACAAAAACCAGTTGCATCACTGGATCTAACACTGTGTCTACTGGCACAGAATCTCACAGGCAAAGAGGGAAAAAACAGCTGTTAATGAGACACAAACAACTTTACCCTTTAGCATCAGTGGCATAGGAAACTCCTGCAAGCTCCTGCAGGCCTGAACTCAACCACATGGAGGGGGCATTAAGCACTAGAATAGCTCCCTTCCTTTTCAGCTGAAACAGAGTAGTGTTTGGGGTTTTTTATACCCCAGTGAATACTAAATACATCTTACACTCCCTGAATCAGAAAGGACTGTATAGACTTTTTTGGAAAAAGTCCAGTTCAGCGATAAATGGGATTATTGAGATTGAAAACTAGAATTCCACAGTGCACTTTATCATATACGTTTTTATGGTGATCTGAGTAACTGAGGTAATTTTATAAGCTTTTAATCTGAGACTGCTTTGGAAGGTCCCTTTATAGCTATGTTTGCAAGCCACAGAATGCCCCAGGACAAAACAAGTAATTATGCAATTGAAACACTTTTCTGTCATTAGCTTTTGAGTCACAAAGATAAAAAAACCCAAGCAGTTTGACACAAAAACACTATCCAGGAATCTGTGAAGTCCAAGCACCTCCATGATAATATAACTATGAGGTCTTTTGGTCAGAAACCTTAGGCCTGCACCAGAAATAATCACATTACAGATTATCAGAGAATCCTGGAGGAGTTATCAGAGTTGTAAGAATTCAGTGCCTTCTTCCCCTCAAATGAAAACATGTCACTCAATGCATATAATCACATATGCTCAAACATTTTAAAAATACGTTTAAATAGTGGCAACTGAGAACTCCTCAGGCAACTAAAAACTCTTCCTGTTGTTACCTCCAGTGCTCTCTTCAGGGCCTGAGAGTCAGACGAAAGTTGGTTCATTTCATGCCTGTGTGTGGTATTTGACTGAACAAGCTTCTCCACCTCCTCCATTTGAACTGCAAGCTCTGCCAAGTCATCTTGGATCACCTGCAGAGGGAAAGACAGATTCCATATGGGTAATGCGGCATGGACCTCCACAAAACATAGTAGTTTCATCTGACAGCGTGAGGGGCAAAGAAAAGGAACAATTACTGTTATTAAGGGGTTTGTTTTGATGTTTAGAAGTCAACGTTTCTGAAAGAAATGGATATCCTTACATGTTACCAGTTGGTAACAAAGGATGACAAGTTGCTGAGAAGATGCCAGAGGATACATAGTATAATTAAGTAATTACTGAAAAGAACTATGGTGATAACACCCCTGTAGTCACCAAGGGTGAAGTGGCTCTGTATAGCTGAATCACTGTAGCTCACCGTGGTGAAAAGGAAGAGTCATCCCCTCTCTCTCTTCCCCTCCCTCTCTTCTGTCCCCTTGCCCAGATGTGTAATTCCACTGCATGCCCTGAGCAAGCTCTACTGCACATTGGATGCTTTGCTGAACCAGTTCAAAACACTAACCAAGTGGTAAATGATCATCTTCTGCTGTTGATTCTTTTTTTCTTATCTTGGCCAGCTGAATTAGCCCGTGGAGTAAATCCAGCACGTGTTAAAATTGTGACAAGGTAAAGAGCAGGAAAGAGGGGATGCAGGAGGAGGTGGGACAATGGGAAGTCCTGTTCTTGGAGGGAGTTAGATTGGTTTAGGTTATCTTGAGCAGTTTCACTCCCACTAGGAAGTATCGGGATACATTTTCCTTAGCAATAAAACTAGCTCAAGAAGGTGTTGCAGCAACAGTTTTTAGCTGCCTGTTGCTACGCCTAAGCCCAATTTGCCAGTTTTTCAGTTGCATTGCTTCAATTTCATCCGTTCCATGCTATAAACTGAACCAAATGAAATTATCTAACACACAATCAATTGAGGGGACAAGGTACTGAATTCCTAATGCTAATAAAATATGAACAAACAGGACTACAATTAATTGAGGATATTATGGTCAAACATTAGTGTAATGTACCTGGAGTCTCTGGAGTTGTGTCTTTTTGCCCATTAAGCCAGGCCGTGGTTCCTTCTCTAGATCTAATTTGGCTTTGAGGGCAGATAACTTCTTCTTCAAAGGTTCAAAACCAGCACCAAAGTCCTTATGTTGTGATATCAAATTCTAGATGGAGAAAGAAGAATAAAAAAGATCCAGCATTCAACATATATCCCTTGGTATTATCTTTTCACAATGTCTATTTCATACTCAGAATAAACACCAGACTACACTATGCAACAGACCACAAATTAATTTGAACATTTGATCAACCTAGAAAAAGGGATTCAGCAAAGCTGGTTAGTACTATATTTCTGTCTAAAAAACTGGCTTAGTAAAAGATTGATCATTGTTTTTGTCACAGGCAAAGACTGTGTATGGTCTCTGAAGCTCACCTGGAGTTTGTTCTTGCTTTGCAGCAGACTTTTGTGTAGAATTTCTCTCTCCTTTGAAGCTTCAGCTGCTTCTTGCAGGAAAGATTTTGCTGTTTCCTCACCAAGGACGCTGTTTAGAAAATCTTTCTTCAGTTGTAATGTCATCAACTTCTCTTTGAACTGAGAGCTTTCAGCTAGAGCAGCCTAAAGGAGAAAAATTCTTCCAGTGAAATCATAGCACCCCACCCCCCCACCTCACATAATAATATTATTCTCACACAAGTCACACAACCAAAGCAGTATGACAAAGTCAGGTAAAAACAGCATGCTGGGCTGACAAGGGATAACAGAAGGTACCTGGACAGTGCCCAGTTAAAGGAAAAGTCTTCCTGATAATGTTAGAAGCACCAGGGCTGCATCCATTTTGTGAACAGAAATAGAGGAAAGCTGTACTATGGAAAGAGTTGTCTGTGCAGAGGAGAGGCCTAAACAACCAACAGAAAGGACAGCTTGAATGCTCATCCTGAGGATAAACTCCATCCCCATTCACAGACACATTTATTCTGGAAATCACAGGGATGACAAAATAACAAACACACCTTGCTGGGCAGATGCAGAAATCATGCATTATAATCCACGACTACAGTGCCACACACTTCTTAACAGAGTCCCCAGACTTCCCGTCCAGGGACATCTGGGCTAATGCTAAACAGTATTATCATCATTGATAAAGATATCTAGCACTTTAATTCAGCCTATTGCATTGACAACACCAGTTAACCAAACAGAGGACAGAAAGTAAGACATTCTGCTACAGCTGGAGCTAGCTATTGACCTCCACACTGGGGGTTTCCTGCCCTACTGGAAAGGGCCTTCCAGCTGCTGCTGTCCCACAGCTGTATGCATGCAGCTGCTGGCATAGCTTGAGCAAACACAAACCAAGTATCAGCTTCTGAACTTGTCTGCTACCTCAATGTGAGCCAGCGCTGGCTTTGGAGTCTCCAGAAGCATCTGGACTGATGGTTTCCACTGTTCAAAATCTTGCAGGGGATTTTGAAAGAGTCTTCTCAGTTGGATTTCTGTATCAGTGCTCATTTTAGATGTCTTGCCTCTAACACTGCAAGGATAAAGTGACAGCCAAGAGAAGGATTACAAAGAAATCCAAGTTCAAACATCCTATTCATCAAGGCATGAATTAACACAATACTCGTGTGTAAACTGTATCCAGCACAAAAGCCTCAGTCTTTTTTACTGCCTGAGCCTGGTGTTGCGTACTGACAGCTGCTCCGTCAGTCTGAGACATCCGACAAAACTTTATTTAGACGCCGTAAGACACATTTGTCTCCTGTGCAACTGTGTACTTTGCCTTTCCAGCAGCCAGCAGTCTGCCCTTGTATGTGATCTTTCACCAGCATGATTGAACAAATCATATTATTGTAGCAGTCTCACTGACTGCTGGGAGGAACAAGCCAAAAGGGTCTAGAACTTAACTCCAGTCGTCTGTACTGTTTTACACATTACTGGGTCTTTGTTCCTTTAAAATATTACATGAAGAAATCTTTGATCACTCTATGTAACCTACAAAAAGAAAAAAATACGTATTTTTTTCAGATATAAATTTTTAAAGTTTTGCAGAACCACTTGTATTTATTCTAATAGATGCAATTCTTATGAAAGCTTTGTATTTATGTATGTATACACCCACATGAACATGTGTATATGGAAAATAAAACTAAAATCAGCACGCATTCATTAAATATCCAGGTTTCTCTTATAAAGGCTTATCTAAAATACAGCTGAGTAACAAGGCCTAGCAGTGACACACTCCATGCAGCTGCCTACTCTTTTTCTCAGCTTTCCTGACCTCCCAGTTTGCAGAATCCTATTTGATATGGCAGAATGCAGCCCAAACTCTATGTTCATATGGGAACAGTGTCTTGCAAATTTACCAGCCAGGCAAGCAAGAGCAATGCCAATCAAAATTAACACTGCCTTTCTATAAAAACAGAAACAACAATCTTACCTCTGCCACTGGGACGTTACCGAGCTAAACAAAGGCAAGCTTGCAGAGGCCAAAAGCTCCGCAAATAGAAAGTTCTGACATTACATGTCCTTTGCCATTTGCTCTGCTGCTCCTGTCAGGCTCAGCATGAAGCTGCCAGACTTCGCAAAGAGGCGTTGGAGAGAAGCTGGCAAAGAGCAGCTGCCATTTTCTACGCAGAGGCGAGTCCCCTGCCTTCCCTGCTTCTCTTCTGACATTGTTTACTTGTTAGAACTTAAACTGAAATCCTTTCCCATAATGACTTATAACCCTCCAGCAGGACAGCATACTGTGCACCGGACAGAGGAAAATAAGCTTGGATACAATAAAACAACTGACCTTTTTCCTTATAAAAAAAAAAAAAAATCCTTTATTCTAGTTCGCAAAATTTGCCGCAGCTTCTTTACTTCCTGATTCCAGGCAGCCTGGAAACGGAAACAGTGAAGTCTGGGGAGAGGCTAAACTTTCAGAGTTTCCAACCCAAGGCAAGTTGAAAACAGGAATCATGCATATATGCTGCCAGGAGAAGGGGAATAAACCCTGCCAAATAATTGCTAAGGCTGATGAGTCACCACAACAAACTCCACAAGGGAGGGTCATAATTCTTCTGAACCATTTACTACTACAGCTTCTGTCCTGATTTTCTAGTTGCTGTCATGAAAGGCAAGCAAAATACTTAAATTGTTATTATAAAAAGCTAAGAAGATCAAATTAGCTGCCAACAATCTAATTTTCTTCAAGCCATACACAACATTAATGATGCAAGATTGTTGCTTGAAAATGGCCAGCAGCCTACAGCTCCTAGCAAATGGCTAAAATTACAGGTTTACTGAAATGTGGAGGCAGATGTCATTAGCAAAACCCTTACTTTTCTACCCGTCACCTACAGACGGATGGCATATCACTTTTTTCTTAGACCCCCCATCAATCCCTTCAATGTCTGAGCCAAGATTCCCCCCACGCCCCGGCATAATCAGATTTCTCACTACCTTTTGTAGTGCTGTATTGCAGAGACAACGCTCTCAGTGTGTGGCTGCACATCTTGGGAAAACCGTAGCAGTTCCTTAAGCTGAGCCTTCAGCTTCTCAATCTTGAACTCTTCTGCAGCCAGAGCTGTTCTTGTTGCCTTAATCATAAAAATAACAAACAGATCACACCTTATGCAGTGCCTGGCACATGAAATGAAGAGATAAGGCTGTCTCTCGGGGTATTCACAAAGGGTATCCCCTTTCTGCTGCCTTTTTTCCTAGTTGTAAGGAATATGGACTTTGCTAAGGCAGAAAACATCCTCAGGAACCGTTTTGTTCCTGAAGGCTCTCTCTTCCCTCCTCATGCTGCCTAGCCTCGGCATCTCATCTGCAGGGCCCACTTTCTGAACACAGTGAATCACAAATAGGCCCAGTTTCAGTTCGCTGGTTGCAGTATATAACATGAGATGCATTTTTGGAGCAGTCTCAACTGCATCTGTCTGCATGAGCTGATCTTTCTCAAAGACTCACATATACACAGAATGTTAATTCTAGGGTGACGTAGCGAAACAAAACCAACAAAACCACATGCAGATGTAGCTGAACTGAACCAGCCTGGATTTTGTGGATCCTTTTAGCCTATACTTTTCCCAGCTAGTCCTGATGAGTTCTAGACATACAAATAGCAACGAAAAGCACTTTGAGAAGGGACAATAAATGCAAAACCAGACCTCGTGAGGAAATGAGTGGTAAAGATTTTTATCTGTTTTACGTGTGACAATCTATTTGCACTCATTTTAGCAACAAATTGATTTTGGTGTAAATACAGGATTGCTACAAACTGTCTCTGCTGGTAAAGGAATAGAGGTAGCCACCTTACACAGATGAAGGATACAATATAGAAGTGGACTTACCAAATACCCCAGAAACGTGTGTATTTGTGTGTGCGTGTGTATGTATTTGCATATACAGTGAGGTATTATTTTCCTGCTTCTTTTTAAGTAGAGAAAATTTTTTGTTTGCTCTGTATTGTGCGCTTTTTGCATATGGTCCCTTCAAACTTAAGACAAACTCCAACATATCCTCCAACCCCACGCCCTCTCTGCAGCGCGAGATAAAGGTTAGAATAGGTGATTCCATTGTTGCTATTCACATTTTCCTCAGTCTGTTTCATACACTTTCCTTATCACCTTCAACCAATGGGACAGGCACCTGTTGGATGTGACTACATGTGTTCAATCTATGACTGCACCTGATTCTCCTGGTTTTAGGCATACAGGGGGTAACAACTTACACTGCATTTTTTCCACAGAATTAACAACTCCTCTTCGGTCTTTTCTGCTTCCCCAGGGTCCAGACCATCTTCTAGTCTCTGTAGATCTTCTCTCAACTCCTGAATGTCTGCTTCTAATTGTCTGGCTTGGGACTCATAGGTACTTTTCGACTGTTGGATTTTAAGCAATCTCTCCTCCTCCTCACTAATCAGTTTAATCTTCTCTAAGGCTTTTCTTAGCTCTTCGAGTTCATCCTTCATTCTCTCAGCTACAAGTGGGGAAGTATTCTGAATCACCTCTGCACACTGATTTTCAAGGTGCTTCCATTTCTTTTCACCACTCCTAATATTTTTGGCAATTTTCTGCAGAAAGAAGTTAAATAAAGATTAGCTGCACGAATGAAAAGTTGGGGAAAAAGCTGAAAGCAGTAGGAAAAAAAAGACCATCTCTCCTGGTCATACATATTTTGTTCTTCACTTATTTCAAAGTATGTCTTTTTTTCAAGTGACCAGAAGCCAGGATTGGTCATCTGGATGCCTTTTGAGTAATACTAACTGTCATGATTCTGAAAATATGGACTTCATTTTCATAAATGTTTGTCAACTGAGGCCCCTGACAAAGAAAACAGGAGCTGCAGGCACTAGGAAAGACTAATAGCCCGATCTCAGAGAGATTTAAAGCTAAACAGTTTAAGCGGTGGCACCAAAATATTGGATACTGTTCTCAAAACTGGTATTTTTATCACCAGTTCTAAATTCAAAACATGTGAGCCTTCAGGGTCTATTCAGATCATGTTTACCAAATATAATTCATTTAAACAAGTTTAAAGACCAAGATTCTCAAACAATCATGTAACTGCAGGAGATTAGGCTTTAAGAAAAACAAATGAGACCAGCCTGTGACTCATGCTACAGCTGGGAGAACTATATGTACTATAATAAGTTTTAGGACCTGATACAACTCTTCTCCCCCAGCCCATGTTACAATCACCACCTTGTTTTGCTTGTGTAATTCTTTTCTCAAATACAACCCTTGCATGGTTTGAGAAACATATACAGGCATGAAGAACACTCAATCCTAGCTCCTTGTTAGAACTCTATTGTTTAAGGACCTTCAGTGCCTTTAACTTGTCCTCAGCTGATGACTTGGTTGCTTCTCCGACGCAGCAGTTTAATCTTTCTGTCACACCATTCAGCCACGATTGAAACTGGTTGACGTTAGCGCTGTACCGCTCATGTTCCCTGGTTATCTGTTCCAGCAGTTTCACTCTGGTCTGTAACAAGAGACATCAGAAGCTGTGAGGACAGTGTTTATCAGGCTCTTTTTCCTTCACGCTAACCCAGAATTTATAAACAAGAGTCCCTTTCCGTGAGCCCTGGCAGCACTTGGCCTCCACAGGAATTCACAGTTCACCTGAAGAAACAGAACACCAAAGTACATAAAGGCTTGTCGCCATCTGGGTCGCGCTGCAGCCTCTCAGCGGCTAGTCTCCGAGGGGACAAACTGCAAGGACCCCTCAGGGGAATTTCCAGCCTCTCCTTTCCAAAACTTCCTATCTTCTCATTAGAAAAAGAAGAGAGACAGAAGTCTGTTCCTGGTTTTTACTTTGGGAGACAAGCAGTTATGTTCCCCATGCTGGTTAAAAGATGAGCACACAACAGATAGACTTCACCTGTCTCTCGAAATGAGAATAAGAGACTGTGTTAGGGGCATGCAAATTGTTTCGAAGTGTTCAATATTTCAGCAGGCTGTATGTAAAGTTGACCATCCCCTTCAGTCATAAAGCCCACGAACTTTCATACTTACTCAATTAGCAGATCCCAAACTATCCTGTGGTGATATCACAGATCCTGGAAGCCAATTTAAGCCTATAGGAAGCAGGCTTCATTTTCTGAGTTATTGTGTGTGCACCCTGTAACCAACAATCCCTTAACTTGGGGCCTGCACAGCATGAGCTGCTTCTCCCTGACCCAATCTGGCACTCTCACAACAAGGCAGAGTCGCATTTGCTCAGACTATTCTTGTTAGTCAGCTGCAGTTCAGGACTTGCTGAAGGAAATTTTACACAGAGGAATCCTGCTCTGTTGTTTCACTAGCATAATATCCAACCTAAGTATTATTTCCTCCAAAATCAGACTAATTTTTCTTGCCTTTCACCAGATGTCATGGAGAGCAATTGAGGTACACTGTGGTTACATTAGAAAAAAGCTGTTCCATTTAGCACTAGCAGCGCCCTTGAAAGGCTTTGCTGTCACAGGCAACAGGCTCAGTTTCATTTTGTGTAATATGGGACATGCCCTGTGCCTCTGAGCCGAGCTGCATCCCAGCTGCCCTCCACAGACAGTAGGGTGATAGCTGCAATGGTGGGCAGAGTTTCAAAGTCCCCTCTGCATTTCCCTTGTCTGTGAGGCTCTGGGCATGTCCCCCCACTTGCCACCCTGCCTACGACGGCAGCGGGCTATCGCTGACCTGCCAGCCTTTCTCCAACCAGGCCAGCAGAAGGGTGACATGAGCATCAATCACCACGGGATCTCCTATGTGTGGAGGGGTGGTGGTCCCTCTGGGACTTTGCCCTTCACCTTTGGGGCAGGTTATGCCCATGGTTCCGTACAAAGCCACTGCTCTCCAGGTGGCACCACACCAGTCTGCTTTCCACACTGCCACTGCAACCTCTGCTGACTTGTACAGGTCAATAGTGACTCCCCTAAAGTTAGCTGACATGCTTTGGGACAAAAAGGGATAGCTAAGGGACAACTGCTTCCCATGAAGGATGAAATGCTGCCCATTTATAAGGGCAGGACCTTTAATAGCACCACCTATGCAAACATGAGTTTGGATAAGACCAAAAAGCAGAATTATGACTGCAGACTTCTGCAGTCAAGGTGTATTCAGTAGAACAACTTGCTTGCTAAATCCCCTTGCCTTGATTCTCAAATCTGCAGGGTGCATACAGGTTAAACTATTCTCACTTTGACCTCAGGTTAGGACTTGCAGTCTTACAGAGGTGTGAATGAGACAAATGTCCAGGTGAAACAAGTCAACCCAAGCTTTTTGATTCAAGCAAATGAGGTTAATTGGGTGCACTGACAGAAGCTCCAGAGGTAGCAAGTCAGAAAAACAAAGTGGAGCTATTATTAAACTCAAGAGTCTTATGCTAACATATAGAGGGTTAAAAAGGAAGTCAAAATGACCCAGCCCTGGCCAGGCTATTCAGTCAAAACAAAGGAGTGCAGTTTGGATACTCTGTCCAGTCCCTGAGCTCAGGGAAGAGATGCCCTGGATCTGGACAGACTGTGCTGTCAGACAATAGGCTAACAGAGCTGAGCCACCCCCAACCCCTCCCCGAAATGAAACTTTCTAATCATGGAAAACATGGTATCCCTCGCTTCTGTGAGGTTAGCTGTTCAGGGAGCAGGACGGTGTCAGACTCAATGTCCAGATGCCCCCGAGTAAGGTGAGGAGGCATTAAGGAAAGACACGGCCCTGGGAAGAGTGAGCACTGACAGGAAAAGAACGAGCTTCCTGCGGGCTGCAGAGGAATGTGTGTGGGCAGGATGTGCCCAGCCCTGGGTCCCTGCAGAGGGTGGGCAGAGGAAACCCTCTCCCCCAGGCTCCCGGTACAGCCAGCAACGGCAGAGCACCCTCCCCTGGAAGGCAATCTAGAGCACATGAAGTTCCTGGTTTAAATCCCTCTGTGACATCTGAAGTCACTGAAGTGAAGGGCTCTGAAGAGGAGGATCGAGTCAGAGGCCCCGTCCTGAAATGGAAAAAACCGCGGCAAAATCAGCGAAAGACCATGCTGCTAAAAGCGCAGGGCAGAGGGAGACCCAGCACCCCGGAG